CTCCCATAACACCCTTCTCCTACTTACAGGCATCCCTTCAATCAAAACACGAATTAATCAAACCGCACTCAATTACTGGGCTGGGGCCCAACACAACCCAATATACAAACTAATTACAACCAAATAGTCAGACACCAAAAAATCAACCCTCAATTTTTTTTAAAACAATCCCAGCAAAGCCCCTTTACTCGCTCACCTTAACAATCTGCTTCACCCACAACAGCTAAACAACAGACAGCACACACCTCCGATAACAAGCTACATTCACGACAAACCCCCACCCACCACAGACACCACCCTGATAAGCACACTTCAAAATCTTCCTAAAAATACTGACATTCACACCAAAACAAATCTCATCCAAACCCACATTAACTTAAACTACCCCCACCACACCCACATATGCACAGACGCATCCATCGGCACAAACAAACACAGGCATAGGCATACATGTACAACAAACACCCCCTATAACAACAAACCTCCACTATACAAACCACACCAATATTAATACAGCAGAATTAACAACTATTCTAACTGCACTCCACCTAATCCCCAACATGCACCCTACCAACTTCCTAATACTTACAGATTCCCTCAGTGCTATCAAACAACTTCAAAACAAGCATTCAAAATCACGAAACGACCTAATACACAACATCATCCTACAAGCTCACTCACTACAACAATTAAACAAAAACATAACTTTAATGTGGATCCCAGCACACACACACAACCAGGGTAATAACATAGCAGATGCTGCGGCCAAATAAGCCACCGCACAAACCACCCCACCCACTAACTTTCACGCGTCCAAAACCGAAACCAAGCAACTCATTAAGTCCCACATACTTAACCAAAACTATTTACACAACATCAACAAAAACAAATCCACCTGGGTCAAATCCATCACGACAAAAACCTACTAGCAAAAGCCCCACCTACTCAAACAACAAACACACAGATATACTTATCACGAGATTAATCACCGGCATCACCAACCTAAACCACCCACTATATAAACAAAATAGACACACAGATGGACTATGCATACACTGCACACTACCCGAAACAATTGAACATATATTTACACACTGCCACCTGCAACAAACAAACATTACCCAGCTACACAACTCTATACCCAGTAAATTCCACAACAATATTCACCTTCTACTCAATCCACACAACCCACCAAACAAATTCAACGTTATAGCTACTTTCTTCACAAACTCAAACTTAATGCATAAAATTTAGACCATCCCAAACAAATTCTATACAAACTTAACCTAAACAAATCTATCTCCTCTCCCCTCACTGTTTAGAAAAGGGATCCAAATTCACACGTCCCAGCGCGGCCGTCTTCTCCTACGTCCCTACCTAGCATTTCGACCCGGCTTCTCTCTCCCACACAATAGCAACCACGCTCAACCCAATTCACTCACAGCCGCTACTTCAACCATACCCATTACATAACACCCCTCTCCCCAACCCATACCACACAGTACTCTGTCGCTCCTAGCTCAAACCTAAGCTAGCATTTACAAACAACTCTCCCTCACCCATAAGTCAACCCACCCTTTCACCAACTCTTATTTAAGCAATATACCTATTATACTATACTTACCTTGGTGCAGCCACCCTCGGCAAAAACCTTACCGTGCCTTCAGTGCTCCTACCCCCTCCCCCAACCCCCATTAAACCACTTTTCTTTCTTTACTAGGCCCCGTATTCCTAACAGTACAGCTTAACTGCACTATAAACAATTTAAGCCCAAAATATTTACAACGTCTCTAACCCTCAACCCTACCCCTCATCCCCACCCCCGCCCCAACCCTATTTACTATCTATTAAATTCCAACTCCTCTTATTATAAACAACTACTTTACTTTTCTCTTTCCCTTTATAATTTCGGCTTTTAATTATTTTACTATATATTTATAAACGTTTTATTTAAAATTCAGGTAAGTTTAATTCCCCTTCATTTACATTTTTTGGGGTAAGGTGGATTTACTCCCTATTTACTCCATTATTAATTCATTTACTTAAAACCCCACCTACCCCGTCGGCGACATTGGCTAAGCTAAAAGCCGACGTTAAACTCCAAATTTCGTTCGTTCAGCATACATTGTCTTCTCCGACGTCCGCGCCCCTAGCAATCACTCCATTTCAATCCCATCTTATCAATCACCCTCACCAACAATCCCCCACCTCTTCCCTCAGGCAGGGCCACCCACCCAATCTTCTATACCAAGCAAACTCGCCTTCTTTGCTCCCTCCCTCCCCCCCTCACCTTCTTTAAACCTTATTGTTTATTTTATAGGCCCCTTTATATATACCACAATACAGCTTAACTGTATTATCTATATAAAGTCCACCTATGCTATACCTATCTCTCATTCTCAAATGGTATGCCTTGGTATTACCTAATAGAGGAAACCGAAGAGGACAAGCTTTGTATTGCACACTTTTCCATTGACACTGAATTTGTAATGAGATGTAATTGAGATGAATGAAAAAGTGTTATCGATAAATAACAATTTTAAATTTTCAAATACAATTTGTCACTTTAGGACTCCACTTCTAATATGCCACTGCACTTTACAACATGTTCTTAATTGTATTACTTACATAAACCTATTTGAATTTTTATGAATGAATAAATATTCACTTAAACATTTTCGGGTCATTTTATAATACAGCACATATAAAATATGTAGGAAACACTACTCTTAAAATTTTGAAAGTATCTCAAATATATTTTACTTAAAAAATGTATTTCATTTTCTTGTTTCGTGTTAAAATGTTCATTACGGCAATGTACCTTATGTTAGATGAACATCACATCATGTACAGTAATTCTTATCAATTCCAGTTTATCATCATTATTTATCATTGTGTTTTTTGTTGTTGAGATATCTGACTGAGTACTGTTTACTTTTTTGAATTTTTTAAAAGATTATGTAAAGTAAATATGTTGTCTCTATTTGATCGAAAGAAAGGCTTTAGAGAGAAGAAATAAGCAGCTTTCAAGCAAAAGGTATCAGGGCACTATCACTGGGAATATTCTCATTGGGTCATCTGTATTTCATTAAATTATGTGTCCTTTCAGCAAATAATTTGTCAAAATCATTGTCAATAATACATTTGGAAACATAAAAATAAGTTAGACACCCCATCAGAAACACAATTATAAGTGCGTCGAATTAATATAGCTCTATTAAATGCCAAGCTTTAAAAATCTATCTACTTTGTTAAAATTTTAGAATTAAAATTTTAATGTTTTCAAAGAAGAAACATGAATGATCAAATAATTATATTTGACATTTTTAAAGAATATTTCATAAACACTATTTAGCAAAGATTTTGATTGGGGTAGAAAATCTATCTAATGCTCAATTAAAATTATGCGAATATCTATAGTTGATAAGAAAGTGAACCATGGTATCTCCAATGTGTAATGTTATAATTTTAGTACTATATTTTGCTTCTAATCATTTTCTTGTTGTATTGTTATATCAGTAACAGGTAAGAATAAATAATATTATTACAATAAATATCAATAACTGATTGTTCATGTTATTTGTCTTCATTTCTTTAGATATCTACAGTCCGTTTGGCTCAAAAGCGGACCGATGAATTGCATTCTAACTCGAAAACTAATAAACATTACATACTCAATGAAACGCTGATCATAATCAAAACATCATACCCACTCTGTGAGGTTTTCGCAGAATTTTTGTCCTAAAAATAGAAAAGTTGTTTAACAATCTATCATTAAAATATTGACACAGTTCACTATTTGTTACGAGGGAGGAGTGCAGAGAAAGGGACAGCCAGGTGTTCGAGAAAGGATGGAGACGGAACAGCACAGGTTAATGAATCAATAACTTGCACTTGTGCACGTGCTTCTCTAACACCTTGACCCAAAATATTAAGGTCGGGGTGACATTGGGTTAGTTTTATCGTTGTTCAATCTGACAAAATAGAACTCTCTTAGTTTAGTGTTGTATGCATGAAGTATGAAATCCGTTGTGGATACAAAATGTGTCCGTGAGCTGTGATTGGCACCTACCTGTGAGAAGTTGATTTTGATGGTGAAAACAGTCGACTTGCCTGCCGCAGCACACAAAATAACAGACACAGACGTTGAGAGGCATAGGCCTTGCCCGGTTGTGTGACGTTACAGGACTCCGTGAAATGTGATACCAGCTGGAAATGCCACCATATATCACCCATATCCGTCATTTATCGCACGTTACGCAAATATTGATTGTCTTGAATTTATGACTCATGACGTTTTGCCTTTTACGGCCACTAAACTTTGTTTGGGCAGGTAATCGAGTACAAAAAACAGTCCGTTTTCCCCGCCGCGACAGATAACAACTTTTGCGTTTTCAATGTTGATAATTTCTTAAACAACTTTTTTGGTGGAGTCCGGAAAATTTTCAAATATAAGAAAGCTGTTGGGTATTAATAAATGATAAACATGTGTACTATTTATATTTATGTGGCATTTTCTACAATGATAAATTTGCAATTCATCGGTCCGTTTCTGACTCAAACGGACTGTAGTGTGGTATTAATCGGTAGAGGTGGTTCCAACCTCTTGCCACAATATGGCTCTTGTTGTTGCCCTGGCATTTTAGCTGAGACACGATGCTTGATGGGATAGGAAATTGGAGGCTTAGGGGCTTGATGGAATACCAGTTTGAAAGAATTTGATTGTGAATATCTTTGGATATTCATGGAATAGGGGTTTGAAGGAATAGTAGCTTGAAGAAATAGAGGTTTGATGGAATACGGAATTGAAGAATCAGGGGCTTGATGCATTAGCGGGTCGTAAATTTCTTTCTGAAATAGGCAGTGATGCTAAATTGATGATATTCACCATTTTCAACGAGCCCGTTGACAAAATCTGTTTTTCAACAAGGATGGTCGCAGTGAGAGAGGCGGCATGTAGTCAGCTGCGCTTGTTGACAAAGAACGCATATCAACGTTCCGTGCTTGTTACAACTTTATTGTGAGGAATGAGTAACATAACAGGCATTGTGATTCAGTAAAAGGCCTCTTGACCAAAACGCATACAGAAGCAGGATCATGAAGCGGAAGAGATATCAGATCTACAGTTAGGGATCAATTTACTTTACATATACATGGATTTGTAACAATATCAGTGCCCTTACTTTGCATGTTAAGGAAGGTCACATACGCTTAAATACTTTTCAGCTGCAATAGGTACACCTGGTACAGGAGAGGAAACTGTAGTAACCAGAGTTTGTATAGAAGAAGAAGCTGTAGTATCTATAACTAGTGCAGGAGAAGAAACTGTAGTAACTACAGCTGATGTAAGTGAAGAAACTGCAGTAACTACAGCTGGTGCAGGTACAGAAAGTGAAGTTGGAGATGAACCTATAGTTGGTTGGTTCAGGAGAAGAACTTGTAGGGATTCGAATCCACACCCTCAGAGTCAGGCACCTAATAGCCACCACAGTCTAACCCAGTTGTGTGCAGGCGATTAGGTGTATGACTCTAAGGGTATGGGTTCGAATCCCGGATGGGACTCAAGCCAACACAAGTGCTAAAATCTGCACTTTCCCAAATATAACGTGTTACATTTTACCACTTTCTAAATGGCATTGTGTATTCATAATAACAGGTGCTTAGTAATAAGTTCTCATCTACTGATCTCTGTAATGTACCTCCACAGGGTCTGCAGGCAGGTATAAACAGTTCTGTTAAAAGGAACGGATATTTACATAATCATCGCATAAGTTCTGTTGACAAATGTCTGATCTGCACAACAGGACGCTCGTTTGTTCCTCTACAGCACTTACAACAAGTCCAAACGACAATGGCAAGAGATAATAGAAGAGAAAAGATGGCAAATGAGACATCAATACTTTCTAAGACTTTGTTCCCCAAACTCAGCTGCTCGAAGGATGTGGGTGATTTCTTATTTTGAACCCGATCACTTATAGCTCTAACATTGCTGCATAACACCCACCCGGAAGACACGATGTTGTATGTACTCTCCATGAATTCAAACGTTGGTTGGAAGGCGAGACAGGAACACAAATACTGACAGCAACTTGGGCAGGGTGCACATGTGCATTGGCAGCAAAGACACCTACAGGGATCCATCGTACACAGAGGCTCCAGCGGGTCATCCCTGAGACAAGGCTCTTGACAACAACACAAGCAGCACACAGGACGACAACAGTCGCATCTGCAGTACGTCGTCAAAAACGACAATGCCGACTCTTCAGATTGCAATGCCATGAGTGTGATTTCATCAAGAGCAACTCTTCGGACAGGAACCACTGGGAGGACGTCATTCTTGATGCACCTCCTGTTGTCGTTCCTCCGGTTGCGTTCGGTTAGTAATTTTCCAATATTTGCCAGGAGGGATAGAGCTGCACCACCAATAGCTAGATTATCAGATATCTTGAAATTGTCATCATTAAACAGAAATACAAACGCTGTGATGACGAGAACGTTTCCAAGGGAACCAAGTAACCTGAAGATGATATCGCAGTATCTGCTACATTGATGCTTCTCATGCAGGCGATCTGCACATGCCAGAAGATGAGGTACTGTATCTTGATTCTGAAATATTTGAAATAAAATGTCACAGATGTTGTTTTTCATAAAACACGAGTGATTGGTACAGTACAGATTTAAAGACTTGTTTGAGTGGCATTTTAGAAGTTGAGACGTACAATGTAGAATACATTTTTATGGATAACAACTTCTTTATTTCGTGAGTGTGACTTCTTTATTTCGTTTCGATACAGATTCTTGTACCGTCATGCAGGAGTCATCGGTTCGAGAATCTGTATCGAAATGTCGCACTCGATATCGCACGAAATATAGAAGTTGTTATCCATAAAATTTGTTCTACAGAGATTTAAAGAGGCTATTTTGCAATGATTTAGAATTGGTCCTCGTTAATCACTAGAGTATTTATTGAAAGGTGAGGATCCTCCGTTTTCTATCCTTTGTGATAAAGGCATTTACTGTCAGTGTTTACTTCATGAGGGTTTCAACTTTAAAAGTTGTTTGTTTTTCTTTATTTTTTTTCTTTAATCGCTGGTATTTCAAAGCAATTTGCATTCATTCATAAAATACATTTGGGGATATTTTATTTTAGGTAACGGCTTGTCATTAGCTGTACAGGAATTGAAGCTGCATAAAACACTTGCCGCCCGAGAGAGTTTCGGAGTCAAGTTCATTCAAAGTATCTGTCCACTGTTTTAGAGATAGAACGTAGTTGAAATTTTTTTCGGTTTAGCATGCAAACAGTGTGTTAGCGTGGCTTTAGTGATGCTTTAGAAATATAACGGCTTTTTTTTCAAAACATTCTTTCTTCCAACTTCTGTGGTCTGTAAACACGAATAACCACTGTGTTGAGTGTAAAAAACGGACATCAAACCAGCTTCAATCATTATGGCAAGGGGATTAGCGATGTGATTGTGATGTCATGGTAACTTATGACGTCACAATAATCTGCCAAACAAGTTATATACAAACAGTGAAATATAACAACTTCTCAATTGTTTCCTTGACAGCATTTCTTTTCATCCTTGCTCAAAGGTTATTTGATCTGGGTCTCGAAGCGTTCGTGCTATTACGACCTGTCAATAGTTTATCATAGGCTTACGAATGAAGTAACGCTACGAACGCTCTGTGGATAGGGACTCAGGGTGACAAAATCCAAGTCATGTGAGCCACGTTTTGACGCACAATTGACAAACATTACGTATACCATGCATTCCTGTGGTGTTTTCCGATGAACAGGAGACTTGCCTTCAAAGTGGTCAATGCAATAAGTCGAGTTTTGCTTGCGTGTATTGTTTGGATTAATGCCTAAACGGTTTGTTGGTAGTTTAATATACTGGCGTTCAAAAGAAAGTACACACCTGATTCTTTGGTAAAATATTTTCTTTAAAACGTCATTAATATTTACAAAGTGTTTTGATTCTGCCTTGTCACAAACATTGTGCAAGTGTTTCCAAAACACCACAGATATTGTACCCAATTACAACATTGCTAGCAAAATATTTATGGTTTTATTTGGAATAGTCCCAAAACACCAGGTGTGTACTTTCTTATGATCGTCAGTATATATGCTTTGTTTGTTGTTTAAGGCTGCACTCAGAACCTTTCCAGCAAAATGACAGCAATTTGTAAATAATCGAGTCTAGCCTGGATCAGTCTAATGATTGGCTTCATGAGCATACATCTATGCAATTGGGATACGATGGCCACCGGATCCCGTTAGTCGCCTCTTTCGGCAAGATGGGTTGCTGAAGACTGCTTCTAATCAGGATCCTCATGGGTAGTATCAAATAAGAAGATTAAAAGGGCATTAAACTGCAAAAATCATTTACCTGTTGGGCAGGCTGAACTGCTTCCAGCGATACCCGTTTTCGGGTGCAGCCATAGCTACAGCTGAAAAGTTATAAGCAAAGCGTAAGCAGGATGTCCCAAGTTGGACAGTCAGAAAAGGACCAGCTTCATGGATGAACAGCTTCTTTATTCAGATGGTGCGACGTAGTAGTAAGGGGCCAGCGCTTTTCCGAGGTGACGTAATATGCCCTCGGGAAAGTGCTGGCCCAACACCATGACGTCACGGAGGCGGTCATGCGTTGACCGCCCTGTGACGTCGGAAAAAGACTCATAACCACCATGACGTCACGGAGGCGGTCATGCGATGACCGCCTCCCTGTGACGTCGGAAAAAGACCCACCACCACCATGACATCATGATGACCGCCTTATGACGACGGAAAAAGGAGCCCACCATGGCGTCATGATCATGAGCTCACAACCTTATGACGTAGGAAAAGACGTCACGGAGACGATGACGTAGGAAAAACAAGGTGTTGACTCACCACCACCATGACGTCACGGAGACGGTCATGAGCTGACCATCCCTGTGACATCACACACAAACACAAATGGCGGCCATAAGAATCCGAGTGCGTCCATCAAACTAAAAATAATCTCAATTGCTCTCGCACGCATTTTTACCTAATAAATGCACCATTAGCGTGCCTTTAAATATCTGGTTTGAAGGAGGCTAGGGAATGTCGTACTGTCTATGTAAAGCTCTCTACAATACTAGACAGCAAGGCATTCATACCTATACACTCTTAATCACACGACCACCCCGTCTGTGTAAAGCTCTCTACAATACAAGACGGTAAGACGGTGATATTTTACATAAAAACAAATCTGTGAGGTAGAAAACGGCAAAGCAGCAAGAGTAGTACGGAATGTTACGTTCTTTACCTCGTATCGTAAACCCCAAACAGGGATGGATAACAATTTTGAAGGAGGTCTGTAAATGTCGTGCTGTCAATGTAAAGCTCTCTACAATACAAGGCAGCAAAACAAATGTATCAAGACGCTCAAAAGAATAACACGCCCTCCGGTTTATGTAAAGCTCTCTACAATACAACACGGGAAGGCGGTTATATTCTACCAAATACACAGAAGACATCGAGTCGGGCAGTCTATGTAAAGCTCTCTACAATACAAGACCGCACGAGCACCGTATTCTTCATTGTTTAAACCATCCCGAAAAATATACCCAGGAGGTAGACATCGTCAACACTTTTTTTATAAAACAGAACAAAGGCAAGTAAACAACATTTCACAAATTTTATTCGTAAATATGCTTAGATTACATTTTTTACTCACAATTCAGCTCTCAGTTCACAAAGCAGTTCTCATGTCAGTATCAAACCTGACGGGGCAAGTAATTTTCAGGAATGAGCACGATGGGCTAAACCTGTGATGTTCAAAGTCAATGTCATCCTCGGCACACCATTTCCACAGTCGTAATCCACACCAGGCACATGCGACCTTGTCCGAAACACCGGTATAATAAAACCCTCTCCGGGCTAGCTGTCTACCCTTCTGAACCAGCTGTTCGGGCCAGTCCTTAAAAGTAGCCATCCTGTCGTAGCCACATAACATCGTTTCGTGGCAGTAGTTCTGACTTAAATCGACCAGCAACTTTCTATGCACCACCGATGGTTGTTTCCCACAGGTGTAGTGCCCACGTTGAAGATGATATTTACCATCCAGCGATACATTGTCTTCGTATACATAGTCCGATAAAGTCACTGGCCCCTTCCTCACATCGGTATCATCATCATAGCAATCGGACAAGTGACCCGTTTCTCCATCCTTCTGGTGTTTAAGGGTATCGTAGTACTGAGACATCTTTGCTATAGCGAGTGGACACTATACAACCTCACTCTTTGTCTGTCGGGTTCTAACTGACTTCGAGCTTGACATATCTGGGAGGTCAGTCAGTCAGGGGTAACGACGTGTGTGACATCATCGTCAATCCCTCCGTGGCAGGTCAGTCAGTCCCCGACACCCCAACCCTCGCTCAACCCGGGGTGTGCTCCTAGCCCCCTGAACTGCGAGCAGCTCATCCAACGCCCGTTTGTCCGAGTGGAGCACCTCTCCTCGGGTACCACCATCTATTCATCCCAGTGGGGGCACCGTCTGGCGTAGTGTCCATTCCCCTGCACTTGTGACACACTGCTCCAGGGCAGTCAGGGGACCAATGATCGGTGCTCCCACATCTGAAACACCGGCCGTAGCTGGGGATGGTGGAATTGTCGGGTGTATGTAGGACGGTGGCGGGCGCTTCAGCATCGACGGTCCTCGCGGGGCTGGTCATCACCTTGCCCTCTAGTGTGGGACAGTTTCTTCGATAATGCCCCTTCATGTTGCATACCGTACAGGGTTGGGGACACTGCATCCCGCAATGCCTGGAATCTCCGCACCTGTTCCCACACACCGCCTTCGGGCAGTGCTCAAAAAGATGATCGCTCGATCCCGGACATTTCCAGCAATGCTTACGTGCACTAACACTCAGGGCAGAAACAGCAGTAGTAGAGGTGTTTTTAACATTGGAAGCCATATCTTTAAATCGAATGATAGAGACAGGGAGTGAGTCTGTAAAAGATGTGTTGTCAATCCACGAGCGAACAGCAAACACAACTATTCTGTACAGGGTATATGTGCTTATATACCCGTACACCCAGAAGAGGGGAGGGTTATCTCGTACATGGTAGTCGGAAAACACGAAGATCGACACCTGTTCACTAGCCGTTGGCCATATAGTCTATCGTGGACAGGTAAAGTGATGAGAAAACTGACATACTAAATCGTGTGATTCAATATAACACTAGCCGTTGGCCATATAGTCTATCGTGGACGGGTTAAGTGATGAGAAACTGTCATACTACATCGTACGATCCGCTATGACACCATCCTTTGGCCGTATAGTCTATTGTGGACGGGTTAAGTGATAAGAAAAAAATGCAATACTACATCGTGCGATTCACTATGACACTAGCCGTTGGCCACGTAGTCTATCGTGGACTGGTTAAGTGATGAGAAAATTGTCATTGAATGGTAGAGCCCTGCTATATAAGGGGGGAGGGGACAGGGGCTGTGTTACAACTGACAACATGGAAAACTGGGAGACAGAATTAATCTCATTGGAACCATCATCAGAAGGGGACAGGAGTGGAGTCACTACTATCAACACGGAAAGCTGGGAATTAGAGCTGATGTCGCTGGAACCATCAACACCAACACCATCCCAATCATCGCCAGCCTGTCCTGCATGGCAGTGTCACCAATGTCGGGGGTGTCTACCAGTCTATGCAAACGGTACGATAGATTATGATGGTACATTTCAGTGTGTATATTGTAGTACCACACTGAAGGACACTTACATGCGACGTTTGACGCATGGTAGTAAGTGTCACATCAGACAAAGGATGACAATTCACCAGTGTCAGTGCTCACTACACCTGTGATTCCACCTCACACCACCAAAGTGTCCTTTTCAGGACCATGACCTACACCGTACCTTACGGTTATGAAACCAGTACCACGTGATTCGTCGATCCATGTCCGTCAGTAATAGCTCGCTAGACAGTCTCTCTCCCCTTTCGCCTCCGGTTGTAACCACCTTTCCATCCCTCCCTCCATCTTACCATTACTTACAACGTAGTACGGTCATGTCTCAACAGTCGAACGACCACGTGTGTAAAAACGTGGACGATGACTTGTTCCAAATCAGCTACGCTCTAACTAATGCCCTGTCACACGTCATGGTGGCTCTACGTCTCAGCATACAATCCTCGAGTCTGTCACTCCAGGGAAGCAAAAGAGACCACACCACCACCACCACCGACAACAACAACAACAGCAACGATGACGCAGACCAACCGGGACAACCGAACAGCACAGCCAACAACGGCAGCACCGACACTGTCACCAACAGCCACCACGAAAAACCACTCCCGACGGCAACAACGACAGACCAGACAGCCTCGAACCGCACCCCGAAGAAACCGACCACATCAACAGTTCGCCACAAAAGAAAAATCGATGACGGCGTAACGGCGAAGAAGAAGAAGAAACAAAAGAAGCAGAAGGACCCTACCGCATTACTGTCTACTCGTGACACCGGGGACGAGCCTTTCGCCGGCGAACAACACCCGAGGGAGGGAGAAACAAACGCCGAAGACCTCGATTTGCAGAAGCTCGTGGCAGAGCTAATAGGTACAGCATGCGACACTAGTGCCTGAACAAGCACACGTCCCCCTCTCGTTGTGTCGACGAAATGATAATAATAACAACGATGATGATGATGATAATAATATAAAAATAAACGAACGGATCGTGTGTTCCGTTGAAAATGAATATTCCGCTATATCTGTTGTTATTCTCGCACCCCCCAGCAGGGTATGTCGAGGTTTGGATTGGAAAAGAAGCATGGTTGTCACAGCTTTTTAGAATTACACCGTCATACTTTTATAACAACTAGTCCTAAACTGGGAAAGACCATTGATACTTTTTAGAATAGCGTGTCGTAATTTTGGAACAGTGTGTCATACTTTTGGTGTGATAACATGTCATCCCCTGCTTTCTTAAGTAGTAAAATCTAAGGAACGGGTCTGCGACTAATGACATGGTTTTGGGAGGGTCTGTCATACTTTTGGAACAGTGTGTGTGTAATTATTAGAACAATGTGTCATACTTTTGAAACGATGTGTCATAGTTTTGGAAGAGTTTGTCGTACATCGGGAACGACGTGTGACACTTTTAGAATAGCGTGTCGTAATTTTGGAACAGCGTGTCATGCCTTTGGTGTTGTTATATGTTCTCCCCTACTTTTTAGTAGTAGAATCTACGGACACTAGAAAATATAACAAAAACAGTAATACGTGTTTTGACAAAGACGCTGCAGCAGTATCACCGTAACGCTTTGATAAGAATATTTACACGCGCAATGTTAGCGGTTAAATTAGACCATTCCTCTGTGGAAAAAGATACACCTAAAATTGTCTCTTTGCCAGCTGTAAATTGTCTGATATCTATGATGGGTAAAATTTCTTTCAAACAAACGGA